GGGGGGGGGGGGGGGGGGTGCCTTCGCCCCCCCCCCCCAACTGTGAGGAAGAGGAGGGGGGGGGTGAAGGGATAGGAAAAAAAGGAGCGCGGGGGGGGGGGGGGGGACTTCATTTGCAGAAGTTCCTGAGCAGCTGGAGTTGGGGGCTGCTGCTAAAACTTGAAGTCCAACGTTACATCCGGCTGCAGGCATTTCCTGTTTAGAAGCAGAGTATTCTCTCAGTGTGATAGGAATAAGTCTTAAAAAGCCCCTGATTTAGAATTTGAATCATGCCAAGCCATGATTTTGGACCTGCCAGAAATGGGCCTAGGAGAATCATGCAAGTCTCACGATCACTGCGCAGTCTTGATATCCGGGGTTTGTGCCTGTGAATGTGGCTTTGGAGTTTCAAGGTAGCTGAATTTTTGAGCGTTGGAAGAAGCTTTTGCAGAACCTGGTTTCCTCCAGTTGTGCAGATGTTGGCTGTGCCGTCTGGGATTCCCGGACTTGCATTCCTAACCTGTCTAAACCAACATTATGGAAGATTAATTCCTTCCCTCTTGCAGCATTATCAGCAACTGTCACTTTTTGTAATTAAAGTTGAGATTGTATCTGCACCACTGTGATTGGTTCAGTTGCCAAAAAACCTTCTGGGAGAAAGATGGTTTAAAGCTTGAATGGAATTCTAATTGAATGGAATTCAAAATGCTTTATGTCATCTTGATATCTTAGCAGACAGCCTCCGTGCCAAATGAGCGTTTTGGTCTTTTATTCTGGACACCGGGGCTTCTCAAGACACGGACAGACACCGGTTTGAGGCTGGGCATATTTTAATTGCTGAATTTAATTTCTCATCTTTACCTTGGTATAAGAATGAAAACGAATGTTGCAAAGGTCTGGGATTTTGCTACAGATAGGAAGATTAAATGGGTCTACAGTGAATAGACATACATTTTCGATGTTCTGGAAAGTCCCCAAAGGCTTTCACTTGCATTTGGCTTAAGTCGGTCTGTTTAGTAGCTCACTCTGGCCCCGGCTATGGTTTGCCTGATGCGGCTTGATGAAATTTGAGACAAAAGTAGTGCTTCTTTCAAGTTGAGATCACAGTTGGGCCTTTGTGATCTCATGGCCATGTCAATATAGTTTGTTTGACATTGCAATTCTGGGGGATTTCTTTTGGTTCTCAGTCTAGCCTCCAACTCTGGATTTCCTGTGGTCTCCCATCCAGGTGCTAACCAGCCAGAGGTGTCAGCAGGATATGGTCAAAAAGTCAGAATGGTGGCCACAGTGGTGTGATCAAAGCTCCGCCTTTTAAAATTTTGTCGTGGTTGGCTTTCAGGATCAGTTCAGGTTGATTAGATGATGCTGCTTTCTGGGCCACGTTCAGTAGCTCCTGATGAAGGTGTCCTCTCTGAGACCTTTGGAGAGGTCATTCTGGAATTTCTCAGAACTAGAACTCCAATCCAAGCAGGGGGTTTATATGCCTCTTTCAGGTCTCATCCCGCTGAAAGAGAATGAGAAATCCGGGATTTTGCTGTGCAATTTTCTTAGTGCACTCTTGAGGAGGGAGAACCAACTTCCTGCAAGGCTGCAGAAATTGAGCCTGTATGTCCTGCCCGTATCTGCTCTACTGTACGAGTTTCTCCTTCAGACACTTGTATCTCTTGTTACATTTTATATTTTCATTAGTATTTTGGAAATCCAGAACTGTAAAATACTGTAATATATTTGTACTGCTAATATCTCATGTATTTGTAGGAGGAAAGGAGCACCGAGATAACATTGCTACTAACACAAAATTTCTTTCCTTCCTTCCTTCCTTCCTCCCTCCCTCCCTCCCTCCCTTCCTCTTCCTCTTCCTCTTCCTCTTCCTCTTCTTCTTCCTCTTCCTCTTCCTCTCCTTCCTCCTTCCTTCTTTCTTTCACACAAGTTACAGGAACTGGTGGCAAGTCTGTAGGACTTTGTTCCCATTCAGAGGTCTCTATATGAAATGATAAATTTCCAACTGGGTGCATCAGCTGTTTATTCTGGAACTGTTAATAACATATTGTATTTTAATTGTATTAATACCTTGATTTGATATTAGTAGGTTGGGCAGTATTTTTTAACTGGGACCAGTTCCCTCTTTCTGCTTTACCTGGGAGCTGCAGAGGGTGTGGCCAGTCCTAGTAAGTGGGAGGAGCCAAAATGTTTAGACTAGTTCGGCTTTCTGTCACTTTCAAGGGGCCAGATGGGCCCCTTAAACCCCCCAAACTACTCAGGGTTTCTCAGGGGTGCCCTTTTCAAGGCTTTGGAATCCGCCCATTTCAGCCACTTCCATTCATTCTTTGGAGGGTGTTCTAAAATGTTGGAAGTCACTGCAGTACAAGGGATGGGGCATAAATTCTCCACATCTATGTTAAGTGACCACATTTTGGCTGTCTTTTGTGTAAAAGGTGACCAAAGAACATGCTTCTGATCATCTAAAGGCCAAATAAACTGCTCTAATTGAACAAGTTGTGTAGATTCTTATCATGGTCTTCCCCAGATGGGGGCCTCCCTGATAAGGGGGCTACAAGCCCCATTGTTCTGGCCTGCATAACATATTTAGGGTTGGCTGACGCAGCTGAACTGCAAATGCCTTTAACTCTGAACTTCTATTTTCTCCCCCACCCTCTTTCTTCAGCTTTGCTGCTCCTCTATGATGTCACAAACCGAGCATCCTTTGACAACATCCAGGTAGGTCTTGAGGACTCCGGGTGGTCGATGTTATGCAGGGGTGCAAAAGGGCAGGTGCCAAAAGATTGACTCCTGCAGCAGGGCGGGTAAAGGTTGTTCTGCGCCTTCTCTCTTCCCCCATGATGGTCTTGCTGGCTTCCATCCACTCTTCCTTTAAACATGGAAGAACAAGAGAGAAGGGAAGGGCCGCAGCAAGCCACAGCAAAAGCAAAATCGCTTCTCCCTCTCTTGTGCGTATTTCTTCTGATGTGCCTGGATTAAAAAAGCTTCTTGCATCCCTTGTGAGGATGAAGTTTCTGGAACCAGCTCAGCTGGTGGGTTTCCCAGGGCGGAGCCTTCTCTTCTCGTTGCTCCTGTTCCAGAGCAGGTTTGGAGTTCAAGGATTGTGGGACATGGACAAGCCCAAGAGCAGAAGACCAATGCCTGGCTCCAGCCTCAGTAGTGCTTAGCGCAGATTGGAGAGGAGGTAGACCCTCTGGAGGTGCTTAGCGAAGCCCCACTTCGTTTGCATGCTGCTGCAGGACAACATGGCCCCTGAAGCTCTTGTGTGCGCATGAAAGAGCTTCTGCACAATCTTCCCCGAGGATTTGCCGTGCTTTGAAATCACTCTTCTCCCTGGCATGGAGGAACTTGCAGGGTTCTCCCACACCTGATGTTAGTGGCCAATTTCTGAGCACAATGTGCTTTCTTGACAAACTGTTAGGGTGAATTTCAGTTGCCTAAATGTGGCAGTCCCGGGAGACAGGACCAACTTTGTTCTGCAGAATCTGACCAGTGAAGGAGATTTCATAGGCCGAATTCTCCCCCAGGGCAAAACTGAGGTTTTGGAGGTACAATAACTTATTTCCAGCACTGTGCATGCTGCTTGTTCCCCAACTTTTGCATCTCCAAAAGTCTTCATCCTGACTTGGGCTTACAGGTTACAAAAGCAGAGCATTGTGTGGAAGTTGTCTCCCATTTTGCAGACAAGAAAGAATAGTCCCAGCGAAAGGACCATAATTCAGTGGAAGAGCTTGAAAAGCTTTTGGCCAAGTGGAGCTGCTGCCTACCTAGACAGGCCATTGTGATCGATGTACTTCAACTTTTATAAATAACAGTTCACAGGGAGCCTGGAGAAAAACTGAAGGATGCAGAATTAGATGACTTAAAGGAATAAGAAGGGGATGAGATGTGCTAGAATTACAACTGTAAGTGAAAAGCCAGAATAGTGGACATGGAGGGTAAAAATCTCTGGGAAGTGATGAATGACTGGCTGTGGTTTAGTTGAGCTGAATACTTGGCCGTAACCCTTCATTTCTTCCCTTCCCATCAACCTTAACTTCTCCTTTTGCCAGAGCGATCTTGGGGCACCATTCAGGCCTCCATGAGCTCCGGACACTTGGCCTCTGAATTTCTTCTCCCCAGGCCTTTATGACCCTTCCAGTCATTCCACCAAATTTTGGCTGCAAAATTGCTGATACAGTTTTAGCCCTAAATTAGGCCTAACAAGTAAAACAAACAAACGAGCAAAGAACAGAGAACGCCTCATGCACTGAAAAACCCAAATCCTGGCTTTGCCCACCTGTGTAACATGGCCCCTTCACACTTGGCCCCCCCGTCCTCTGCCTTCCTGCTTCCCCAGGAGGGAAGTGCTGCTTTCTCCTTGACCGAGGGCCTGTTCTAGCTGGAACGCTGGTTTATTTCAGGGAAATAGGATGCTGTATTTGAACGGGGCTGGATCCATGATGATCCGGGCTGGGGCTTTCCTTCAGCTTGTGATTCAGTGGATGGTGCCAAAGACAGGTGGTTCTAAGAGCTGTGGCTCCTCCTTGTCCCCAAAGGCTGCCTTGCTTTGCTGTTTCATGCTGAGCTGCAGTGACAGCAGACCCCCAGGTTCAGCAAGCCACGGGCATCTGGGGACAAACATCATTGTCTTGACCCCGTAGAGCAGAAAGGGCAATGTGACCTGCGACTGATGTCAGCCCTAGCAAACGCGGCTGACGGCTGCAGTCTGGGAACCACCAGGAGGGACCCTCCTTGCCCACCTCTTCTGCGGAAGGTCCCAATTGCCTGAGATGTGTCACGTCACCAGAGCTGATCTCTGTCTTCAGCAGAGTAAATGGTGGGGCTGTATCTCTCAAAGGAGGGGAAATATGGATGCAGCCATTGGTTAAAAACAACCGACTTCACGCAACCCAGGAGGCAGCCAGGACCTCAGCTGGATCCAGATGTGACTCCTGAGATCCAGGTTTGGCGTGCCGGTTGCAACATGGGTCGGGGGTTGGCTGGGATGGGGAAGGGTCCTTTGCGTTCTGCCACTCGGCACCCCTCTCCCGCTTGCATTGACCCAGCCGCCAGCACCGCTAGCCCCGGTTCTGACCCTGGGGAAGAGCAGCTTCTTAGGGAAGCTGTTTTTCCAGGGTTCAGGCAGACTTTGTGGTATCGACAGTGATGACTCTTGGGCCTGAGTTGGGCGGCTAATAAATTCAAACAAATAAACAGAAATACAGAAATCTCTCAGTACTTAAGACAGCCTGGCTATGTTTTTGTCGAGGGGAATGCTGTTACGCTGAACTGCTTCCCCCAAATCGGACATGAATGGAGCTTCGCTGTCGTCTTCTTGCACTTGGGGTTCAGCCCTTGCCTCTTTCCTCCAGCTGGCTCTGCGCCACGTAGCTCATCTGCTGGCGTCCAGTTCTCCGTCCTGTGGCACCGCCTGGCATCTCTGTCCATACAAAGTTAGATGTTTATCAGGTGGACTGAAAATTGCACTGTTCTCTCCCTGTTCAAATACAAATAAAGAATTAGACATCTGCTGATTTAAATACTCTCTGCTGCTCTTGAATGCAGATTAACAACCCCCACCCCAGCGTAGTTTATTCTGTCTCATTTGTGTGCCTCTTCCTTTCTGCTTCCCATCCCCTGTGCCATGTCCGAGCGGTGTTGGATTTCTGGTGTCTGTGGTCCCCAAGGACTGATCTTCTTCTGGGGTGTCTGCCTTCAGGCCATCAGCCTTTGGTGCTGTTTCAGAAAGAAGAAGCCGGGAGGAGCCGCTTTGAACACACGCAGTGGAAAAAGAATCTGGCCTTGGCTGGAGAGGCTGCTGGAGAGGGCATGTGTGCAGAGCGAACATCTGCTTTTATTTTATTTATTTTTTTATGGTTTGGGTTCAGCCACTGCCCCCCAGTGCACAGAGACTCAGCTCTGGGTGGCAGTATTTGGCCAAACCTCCCATTCCCTCCTTAAACCAGATTTGCAAGTATTTGCTATTTATTTTTAATTAGCAGAGGCGCATAAGGACCCGACTTAGTGATCTACCTTAGTGATTTCTAGGCAAGAAAGTGTGGGGAGTCTTCCTGAGGCATGGAAGGAAGAGGGGCAGAGCCAGTAGCTGGACCAGGTTTGTAGCTGGGGAGGGTGGGGTAGAAAAGAAGCCGTGTAGATTTCCTGTTAAGTATTTCTGCACCCAAAGAGAAACGTGTCACCTTGGGCCAGAGACCTCCAATAGCTTAAAATGCATCAACCTTTGAGACATGTGGACTTCAGCTCCCAGAATTCCCAGCCAATATGGCCATTGCTAAGAATTTTGGGAGTTGAAGGCCACACATTTCAAAGTTGCCTTATGCTGTTTTAAGGCAATGATGCAGCACAAAACGACCTGACATGAGTGGAGCAACTTGCTCTGATTCCTCCCACCCCAGAAACTCTCAGAGAGGGTTTTGTTGGGCAGTGAATTCTTTGCAACCTGAAATTTACAACCAGGGCTGCAATGGATTTGGGCATATAGCCCAGCTGAGCAATCAAATGGTTGAAATAGTGTGTGTTTTTTGAAACCCTGGGGAATGACTTCTAAATTTAAACCTGCATTTGTTCCTCTTGTTCAGCCGTGTGTGGACGCCATTTGCATCCTTATCAGCCTCTGCAGATTTCAGGCAATTGTGCCAAAAACACCCCTTGGCATCATCTTCAGGGCTCCTGGGCAGACAGTCAGATCCACAGGCAGGGATCCACAGTGGCATTTAACCCGACCTCCACCCTTTGTCCAGCTCTGGAAGAGGCCGCTGTTGTCTGCCTCCCTCGGCACAAACCCTGGGAGTGGTGCCTTTCGGTTTCCCCACAACCCGGAGCATCCTCCAGCCCCCTTTTCTGCTAGCCCCCCCTGGGCCCCGTCAGCCAGAATCCAGCCAGCCACGGTGCTCGGTGGCAGCCAGATGTGTTCAGGAAACCAGCTGGTGCAGAACGAAGGCCGGGGGTCTCCCCTGTTGGGGGAGACAGTTTGTGTGGAAGAGGTCTTGGGACGATAATCCTTCGCCTGTTGAACACGAGGCAGCTGGGGCTGTGGAGGCTGCATCGATAGAAACTTAATTACGTTCCGTTTTATTCTGCACGCTCCAACCCAGCTAGAACGCCGTGTGCCAATTTGAGGCACGGGGAAGTGGACAGGAGCCGTTCTCAGAAGGAGGGGGAAACGTCCTGCGAGGAGGGGTGGAAGGAGCTGAGCATGCTTGGCCTGGGGAAGAGAAGGCAGGGTGGGGGAGATGTATGGCATTTCACGTTCCTAAAGAAGAACCTGGTCATGGGTCTCGGGGTTGAAATTAGTGAAGTGGGAATCTCTCTCGTGCCAGAGAAAGCCTTTTGCTAAACAAGGCTCAGAAGGGAGAAAGTTTCAACAGCATTTCTCAACCTTGGCCACCTTTAAAAGAAAGGACCTCTACATCCCCAAAAACCCCACAACGCAACAC